CTATATAAAACTACTGTCGTTGGTATGTCGGCCATGATAACTTACATCATAAGCTTCTCCATAGCTTGCATGGAGTTGCGCTAAGAAAGTTGTATATAAGTACATAAAATGCTCTGGGAATCTAACCCGGAACCACGCAAGAATACATGGTCCTTTCAAGGACAAATTTTGAGTACCATATACAACTTTATTCAAGAAGATACGACTGCGCAGAAGCAAGAAAATATAGTGCACCACAATCATTGCAACGAAATCGGCCCTATATAGTACGACAAATCTAGTCGTTTTTTGGAAAACGACTAGATTTGTCCCACAAATCTAGTTGTTTAGCCCAAAACGACTCGCTGTCGTGCACGAAGGACAGTACAGTTGTAGTGTTACACTGCAATTGTATTGCCCTTCTTGCACGGCAGCTTGTTGTTTTGGGTGGCCCCCGAAATGCAGGTCCCCGGCTGGCAAGCATAAGGTAAATGATTAAGTAGAAGAAATTTACTGCAGGTTTAAACGTTCCTTCAGTAGCCTATCGGTACCGGCAACTGTTTTCGAGAGTCACTCACACCCTTTAGGTTCGTCCCTGTGTTGTCGCAAGCGAGGGACGATCCACAGCAAACACCAAAGGGCGTGGCTTTTCCCAATACAGTTGCCGTTACCATTCGGCCACGGAGGAAAAGTTAAACTCAACCGACAAATCGGACATGTCTTTCCGCACTCATTAGCATGCAAATAAAAAAAAACACGCCCAAACGCTCTTCAGGAGCGTTTTTTGAGCGAAATAAAAAAAATAACTATAAAGGAAGAAATATAAGAAATATCTGAGTTGAAAGTTGTGGCTAAAAACCCTCAATTTAAGCTAGAAATAAAGCTTTATAGCTTCGTAAACAGGAATACCGAAACTTCAATTTTGTACATACGGGATATATATACCATGAATCAATGCTTTGTGACGTCAGTTACAGCATGGGGCTTCGAGGAACGGAACATCTAAAAAAAATCGAGGAAAATTCTTTATTTTCTGCCAAAATAAAAAAAAAGAAGTCAATTAAATGCTATAGAAATTGCGACGAGACCATAATGGACGTTTTGTTAAATTTGGGGCCAAATTGGAAGAGGAATGATGAAGAAATTATTGAGAAATTTCAAAGTTAAATCATGGTGGTCAAAGACAAGATGGCGGACGTCTTCTTCTCCAATCAAGAAAATGAAACGAAACTGCTTCAATGGTGTTCAAAGTCAACATTATGTTATATGTGATACCCTGTAAGTTATTATATAGCTACTCTTAATGTATTAAGCTATTATGTTTTACTTATTTTACTTTTTACTAACTCATTTAACATTTTATCCTTTTTTTCTTTAAAAATGTTACCTAAAAATTCGTTTATTGCATACATTTCAATACCACAACACGATGATTATTATCAAATGATACAGTAGTGTTCCATTGCAAATTTCCTATAACCCTGTTAGATAAAGAATCACCACACACACCCCTGAAATAATTTTACAGGTACCCCCCCCCCTACCACCTTAATTTCTCAAAGCTCAGCCTTAATTTATCTGGAAAATGTTGCTATTTTATTTGATATATCTAAAAATTAATCAGCTATTTTTAATTCCCTTTAGTGAATCTATATCAAAGCCAAGATATAAACCGTGGCTAAAACCGAACAGCAGAAGATGGTGAGTTGTTTTTCTCTCTGCTAAATTAATTTACACGATATATTGTATCTCACTTTAGAAGTTGATGGTGAAAATTAAGTGAAATAAACGCCTCCCAAAACTTTCGTTGCCATGGCGACCATGACGTTTCAATGGCTTAAGGTGACTCCCTTCTGTTTTTTTCAGCCGGAAAATTTACGATTTGGGTGGATTTTTTTTTTAACAATGGACCATTTGCATTATAGACTAAATTTTGATCTAGACAAAAATTTCATCACAGCTTGAAAGAACATCACAAAATTAGTAATATTCCAAAGTTTCGTTGCGAAATGTTGTAAAATGCGGTCTACTAATATAGCCTTACGAAATTTGCAATTTTCAGTCATTTTGTATTACAAACGGGAAATTGATGCCCCAACACCCGATTGGGCTGTCAATTTCCCAAATACATAATGACTCATGAAATGCAAAATGACTGAAAAACGGCAAACTTTACATGGCTATATTATCCGCATTTTACAACATTTTGCAACGAAACTTTGGAATATTACTAATTTTGTGATGCTCTTTCAAGCCGTGGGCCGTTGTGCGAAAAAGTGCTTAGAAAAGCAATTTCGTGGCAACCCCCCGGGGAATAGATTTTCTGTGGTTCAATTCATAGTATACCATAGATGCTGAATTACCACAAAAAGTTCCCAAGTAAAAAACTTGCCAAGAAAATGGGTGATTAGCAGGGGCGAAACTTGAGGGGGGGTATGGGGGGGTGTAACACCCCCCATACCCCCCCTGTACAACATCTTTGGCGATGGTATGGCGTATTGGTTATGGTCTCTGGATGGTACCGCGTCGATGTCGCTTGGCAGGTCTTTGCATCTCATTCACAATTGGCTGATTGAACGAAATCTGACGAGGATCTGCTTTCGAGCGATATTTGGCACAGACAGTTCGAGTATGTTATTATATGCCTTCGTTATACAGTCTCTGGACGAGTGGCAATCTCTTCTAAACTTTGCACAAACGAAATCTGACAATGAATGCTGTGGGTTCGCAAAGGAATCGAGCTGGTGGCTGGTCTCATTTGTCCTTTGTCTTCTAATCTTTCTCGTTTTGCTTCGACTGCTAGGCG